AGATGAAACCGTTTAAGAACGCGCTTTTCACGTCTATCTGGAACAGTCTAAAACATTTATGAGCAGCATAAGCTAATAAAATATGAATAGATTCTAACCTGCCAACAGGAGCGAAGATTTCCTCGTAGTCAATTCCTTCTTATTGTGAATAACCTTGAACAACCAGTCTAGTTTTATTTCATACCACCTGTCCAGATTCATTCAACTAATTTCTATAAACCCATTTTGTTCCAACAATGAGTGAATTCGGAGGTTTAGGGATGAGTTCCCATACTTTGTTCTTCTTAAATTATTTCTTATTCAACTTTTGTCCCCAAGGGCCGCATGGTTCGAACTGAGATGTGAGGGCTATATTTGATGTCTGCTTTACTGATCTTCTTGCTTTCATGCCTTCCCGAGGATTTCTAATGATGTACCTATGTGGATATCCTGGCTCATTTTTCCATTCATTTGGAACTACTGGTGCTGGCTTCAATCGACTGATCCTACTGATTAGTCACCTCATCACAAGTGTTCTCACCTGTATTTACAGACTTTGGAACTATGAAAATTTCCTCATCTTCAGGTAGTTTTTCATTCCTTAAGCGAGGGTTAGTGTCCACAAATAAAACATGTATGGATTCTTCAATAGATAAAGTACGTTTATTAAAAACTCTATATGCTCTACTTGAGGGAGAGTATCCAAGAAAAATACCTTTATCGCTTTTTGGGTCAAACTTACCAAGGTTGTCTTTTCTATTATTGTGGATAAAACATTTGCAGCCAAAATGATGGAAATAATTGATGATGGGTCTTTTACCTTTTCACAGTTCATATGGAGTCTTTTTTAGAATAGATCTTTTCAGGCATCTGTTAATAATGTGACATGCGGTGCTTAGAGCTTCTGCCCAGAAGTGGTGTGGGAGGAAATTTTTCATAATCATAGTTCTTGCCATATCTTGCAAAGTTCTATTTTAGCATTCTACCACTCTATTTTGTTGAGGTGATCTAGGGGACGAGAAATTGTGAGAAATCCCTTGATCATTGTAGAAATTTTTGAATGCTTTGCTTTCAAATTCTCCTCCATGATCACTTCTTATGGCAGAGATGTTGTATCCCTTTTCCCGCTGTACTTTTTTGCAGAAGACTTCAAAATTCCTCAATGCATCATCTTTACTCAGAAAAATAACCTAGATAAATCGAGAAAAATCATCTACTATAACAAAAGCATATTTTCTACCACCAATACTAGCAGTTCTAGTTGGACCAAAAAGGTCCATAAGCAAAAGTTGAAGAGGTTTTGTAGTAGAGACTATCTTTTTAACTTTAAAAAAGGACCTGGTTTGTTTTCCTAATTGATATACATCACAGATTTGATCTTTTGAAAAATCTAGTTTTGGAAGATCAATGACAAGATCACGTTTGGAAAGTTTTTGAATAGTATGCATGCTAGCATGACAAAGTTTTCTATGCCACACTCAGGGATCATCAATCATAGAAACTAGACAGATTTGATTTTCTAGACTGTCTATGCTACTGAGAGTGTAGACATTCCTATCTCTATTTTCAGATAGAATGATTTTACCTGATTCGTCTTCGATAAACAAACCATGCTTTTTAAAATGAAACTCATAGTCATTGTCACATAATTGACTGATACTGAGTAGATTATGCCCAAGTTCATCTACCAGGTATACCTCGTCTACATCACATGATGAGTTGAGAGGGACTCTTCCAACGCCAATTGCATTTCCTTTTGTTTTGTCTCCAAAAGTAACTGATCCACTATCTAGCTTAGTGACAGTTTTGAATAATTGTTTGTCACCTGTCATGTGTTTGGAACACGCGCTATCAAGATACCATTTCCCTTTTCGATTCTTCTTGTGGTGTTCCTGCAAAAACAAGTTACTTATTTTTAGGTACCCAAGCTTGCTTTGGTCTTGGAAGGTTAGTATTCTGAGTATTAGCCTGATAAAGGCCTTGGGTCGCCAAACCCATCCTCTGTTGTTCTTAAACCTGCAATGGTTAGATGTATGACCAGGTTTTCAACAATAAAAGCAAGAGGGGTTATTAGAACTGTTAGAGACTTTTTCTCTGCTATTTCTAAACTTGCAATGGTTAGAGTTGTGGCCATCTTTGCCACAATGAGTGCATGCAGAGTGATTTCTTGTCCTAGATGTGAAATTGCGAAAAGTTGACTGGTTTGATTTGACATAATTGTGACAGGTGGATTTACGCAATCCATTCAGTTGAAGTTGAAATTCACTAACTTCATCTTGAAACATGTCTCTTTCTATTGCACATACTTCTAATTTCAGTGCTCAGTCTTTCTTTTCTCTTTGGATCTTTCGAAGTTCATTTAAAACTTTTTCAATGTCTGTAAGAGCAATATCAATAAATTCTTGAAATTCATTACATTTAGGACATGTAGGTAAACGTATCTCACTTGTTACTTTGCTTGCCATGAGACCAAGCTCACCTGAATCTTCATCACTATCTTCTTTCATGGACATAAAGCACATGTTGGCAATTTCCTTATGACCGGATTCTTCTTCATCACTCCATGCTCCAAAAGATTTCTTTTTCTGGAAATTTATGCTTAGTTTTTTTTCCAGCTCAGGGCATTCAACTTGAATGTGTCCATGTTTTCCACATTCATAGCATCTTCCATCATTTTTTTCATTCTCATTACTCATTTTCCCCTTTCTGAAATTTGGTTTACCTCTTCTGTTGTTTCTATTTTTCCTCATCACGTTTGTTACAACTTTAGAGATCATAGCTATATCCTCATCTTGTTCTCCTCCTTTTTTTTCTTCTTCTTCATTTTCTGATTCAGCCACTATTGCTTTAAATACAATTGTCTTCTTTTTTTCTTGCTGTACTTGTATGTTTAAATGTGTTTTCTCAAAGGCAATTAGATCACCTTTGAGTTCATCATATGACATCTTGTCAAGATCCTGACATTCTAGAGAAATTGCTTTGGGTTGCCAAATAGTGGGAAAACTTCTTAGAATTTTTCTGACATGTTCTCCACTTTTAATGGTCTACCAAAGGATTTTAAGTCTCCAAGGATTTTTCTGAACCGGGAGAATATTTCTTCCACTGATTTTCCATCTTTCTTTTGAAATAATTCATATTCACGAACTAGAAGATTGATCCTTGTTTCTTTTACTTTGTATGTTCCTTCATATGTTACTTCTAACTTGTCCCACATTTCTTTTGCAGTTTCATAACTTGATATCTTTTCATGCTCTTCTCTGCTTATGGCATTATACTGGAGATATTTTGCCTTGGCATTCACTTGGATAACAACTGCTTGTTCTTCAGTGTACTCATCTAAGTCGAGAGGATCAGATGATACTATGATCTCACTGTCTTTGTCCTTCTTTGGCGGAATAAGAAAATTTCCCTTGTTGATCACATGCCACACTTTAATATCATATCACATAGTGTATGTTTCCATACGTACTTTTCAGTGGGAGAAGTGTTGTCCATTGAAGTAATGAGGTCGTACCTGAGAGGTTCCTTCTTTGAATAGTGCTCCAACGACTGTGTTTGATGCCATGATCTTTTCCTCACTTGCTGCTAGGCAATACTTGTGAGTCCTTGCTCTGATACCAATTAAAAGTACAAGAGTGGGGGTGAATTGTAACCGATTTTAAAACTTAGTTGACTAAGAGAGGAACTAGTCGACTAAACTTTACAGTAGGTTTGATTTCAGCAGAAGTAAATTATGCAGAATAAAGAAGGGAGGCACAGGAATTTTATACTGGTTCAGTACCGGTGTAGTACCTACATCCAGTTATCTTGGGTCATAAGCGTTCTCTTAGATCTTCAATAAGCCTTTATAAGAATAGTGGTTTTAGTACGTTCACCACCAACGATATTCAGCAACAATATTTGTCTAACTTTGACATAACTCTTGTTTTATTTTCTAACTCTTCCTATCTTTTGTGACACTTGTAAACTCAAGAATACAGTATTTGTACTAAAAACTAGAAAGGTATAGAAACAGATGTTAAATTGCATAAGCTTCCTTGTTCTTCCACTTCTTCTTTAAAGTGCTCGATGAGGCTTCTGATTTCTCTTTTCTGGGATTGCGAAAGATCATTGATTGGAGGTCTTTTCCTTGTGAGGCATAGTCTTCTAAGAGTAGGACCAAAGGGTAGCCTCATGAATATAGCTTGAGAGATATGGCCAGATTCATTCTCAGTTTTAAGTTTGGCTCCTTCATCTTTCCAATTAACTTCTCTTAAGAACTTCCGCAGATTTTCTTTGATTGGCTCTCTTTCCTTCCTTGTATGCTCGAGAATCGTTTGCTTGTTTGATTGATTGATTTTCTTCCTTGTTGCTTGTTTGATTGATTTTTTTTCCATCTTGGTATCCATGGAGTTTGAATAACATAGCTGTTGGCTGCCTCTGATATGCTTAGATGATTTTCTTTCCTTTCTTGCATCATTAGAGCAGGTACGTATCTGCACACAAAGTGGAATGGCTTAGTCAAGGCGCTTTTGATTATTGATCATTATTAAAATTCTAAACCTAACATATGTTGCATTTTCTTGAGATGATTTCATTACTTGAATATTTTATTTGGATGATTGCGGTGAGAATGAGGGACTTTTTAGGTAATTTAACAGGAACACTTCATTTAGATGTTTATTTTTGTAAGAAAAAAATATCTCAACTTATAGGCTCAAAACCGAAAATTTGAAATATCCAAATCGATTAATCCGAAACCGTACTTAAAAAATCTAATCCAATCCGAGCTTATTTTGATTGTCACTTCTTCCATCTGAAAATCAAAAATCCAAACCGAAATTTTCATATTGAATCCGAAGTGTCCGAACGCCCACTCCTAATATTGATATCTCTTGTTTTTCTCTTAATAACATATTCTTATTTGTAATAAAGCATCACATCGTACTCTGATGAAGTTGCAATAGTATACTTCTAATGATAGTTTTTTAATAAAGCACATATCTTACTCTAATCAAGTTGCAATATTATATTTCCAATGATAATTTTTAAAAAACAAAATATTGCTATATGTATCACGTTCAATACAAACATTTTTATAAACCATAGGCTGTACTATAAACCCTTTTAATGGTACAAACATTGAGAATTCTCAATAGAACTTGGTTGCTAGTACATCTAGGAGTTTTAAACTGGCTCAATGCTGCTCCATTTCCTATGAAATATTCCAAAATCTTCTTAAAAGTACCTCTCTCCACAATGCAAAGTTCCAATGGTCCAATTGAATTTGTTTTTCTTGATACAACATATCCATGATCCACAAAAGAAGCATCCATTTCCCTACAACATTCTCCTAAAACTTTTTCTTCAACTTCTCCTTTGATTTCCCAATAGATCACATAATGGCCTGGTCTTTTTGCTACATTTGCATGACTTGTGAAATCAACTAGCTCAGCTCTTGATTTACTTAGGATCTGTGAACCTCTCTCCACCACTAACTGGAGGTCTTTCTCGGTGTTCTTATCGATATTTACTGTCAGTATCAGCTTTCTCCTACATATGAAGTTGAGTCTAGGGGTCTTCCCGTGAAAACCGGCCACTTCTACTACATCCCCTAGTCTATACCGATAAAGACCTGCAAATAGCAGTTTAATTAGTTAAAAATAAAAAAAATTAATTTATATACACTAACAATTGAAATAAGTTATACAAAATCAGTGTATTTTAATATGTTGCAAAAAGTTGTCTGCCCTATTTTTTTTTTTTACTAATTTCATTTACCGTGAACGATTACATGTAATTAATCTTTTGATGACCCGATAAAAGTTCTTCCACTCTAGTAATCTATAGAAATTAAAAACTCAAAAGGTAAACACTTCAAGTAGACAAAAAAAGAAAAATAAAAACGAACTTCTAAGTTCTAACACAAAATATGCCACCTAACTAAGATATTTCATTGTAAAGTCTAAACTTAATTTGGGAGAGCATGACTCTTAATATGGATGCCATGGTCCCCAAGATATTTGGTATCCATTCTTGAGAAGAAAAAAAAAAAGGAATTTCTCTTAGTAGAATTTACTTCCAATTTGTTTTTTCTTTTTTATAAAATAAAACGATTTTGCAGCGTGAAAAGGACTAGATAATCCCTTGTTCTTGGAATTGCAGACACTCCATGTTTATATTTAACTGGATGATAGGCTTGCTGTCGAAATTCAGTACAAATAATTGATGCATAGTGCTTGATGTAGTCTAGTATAGAGTCAATGACCAGCGTTATAAACGGAGGCGGAGACACAATTTGAAGTTTATGGGTTTACAATTAAATATTATATATATTTAATGATTTTTTTAACCCAACTACTGATTCTAAGCAAAAATTATTGGGTTCCTTCGAACCCGTAACTATGCCCTAGCTCCACCCTTGGTTATAAAAGATTTTTTGACTATTAGGTCCCTTGAAATATTATTACAGATAAATATCCTTGATAAGATTAATAAGTAACCTAGCTAGAAACTAAAGTAGATAGTAACCACTACAACATATTAGACTAAGTTAAAATATTTATGTTTTGTAACTTAAATCCTATATTATTAAAATAAAATTTAGTTTATATACACAGATGGTATAATAAGATTTACACTATCAAATCACTTTAAAAAAAAAAAAATCGATCCGCAATAAATTCCTAAGTGGGCACTTAACAAAAGGCAGGTAGACATAGAGATATTTACATGACATTGACATGGAAAAAGGAGCACTATAAAATTTGAGTTATTTTATTACCTGTAAAAGTGGTGAGGACAATCTCATATTCTTGTCCAATCTTGACTTGAGATAAGGGAACTGGCTCATCTTCTATAAAGTCATCAGTGGCTAGATTGGTATCTTGGCTATTATTGTAATTTTGTGACTTGGTTCTATGTAGTGGTATGAATTCAAAGTAAGCAAAAGTGGGTATTACTGCAAAAGTAACTTTCTCTGGTGGATATGAAGGTTCCACATTCACTCCAATCCAACTCTCTGTAGACCCATAATCAGCACTCACCAAAGGCAATTCTCCAGCATAATGCCTCAGTTTTGTTAAATATGGTTGCATTGAGCCAGTCATTATTGAGTAAACATACTTAGCATTTGGCCATAATCTTGGAATTATGCTAAGCCAATCTTCCCTTTCTACTTCCTCACAAATTGATTCAATTCTTGAAGCCAACTCTGGATTTGGCAAAGTAATACCTGTTGAAGACATAATCAAGTAATTAAAAACGTACTTTCTCTAACTTAAAATTTGGACGAGATGGTAATACACTTCAAAATGGTATCAGAACAGATAAAGGTATTAAGTTGAAATCTCACTGTCACTCATTTATTATAAAAAATTTCACATGCTAGGCCCAAGAAAAAATACTCAAGTTTGCACATGAAAAGACGTATTGAAGATATAATGAAGTAATTAAAAGTTGTGCTACTCGGATTATCCAAAGGTATAATGAAGTAATTAAAAGTTATTAAAAAAGTACTCTCTCTAACACCTTAAATTTTAGACAAGATGGCAACACACTTTAATATGGTATTAGAAGAGATAAAGGTATTGAGTTCACGTCTCATTGCCACATGTTTATTAAAAAGAATTTTTACGTTCTAGGCCCAAGAGAAAAGAGTCGGGCTTGTACGTGAGGAGATGTGCTGAAAACATAATGAAGTAATTAAAAGCTATGTTGCTCGGATCATCCAAAAACGTCTTCGCATGCATGTTGGAACTTTTGAAGGATCCGACACACATCCAATGACATTTTTGGAGGATCCGATATACACCGAATAATATTTTTGGAAGATTCGAACAACATAGATTAAAAGTGTACTCTTTCTAACAGCTTAAGCTTACCTAAGACGGCGTTTCGGACTTTAGTTATGTTGATTCTTGAACTAAGAGTGCCTTCCCTAATATCATGACATAATTCTTTCCACAGCTCTTCAAATGATCTGAATGCTTGAACAATGCTATATGCAAAAGTTGAGGTCACAAATTCCACTTCCTCAGAAAAATACAAGCCAAGAAGGAGGTGACAATATGTAGATTGTTTATAATCTCCACTTGAAATGACTTCCTCAGGGCTGCAAGTAAAAGACTTTGTGTCTTGCTGTTTAATCTTGAATTCCTTACTAGCATAATAATGAGTTGTAGCTGTTCCTGCTATTAGTCCCCCTTTTGTTTTATATTGTTTGCTGCTGTATATGAATTCAAGAACTTTTCCTCCTCCTCTTATTGAATAAATCCTGTTTATTACGCCACCATGCAAACAGAGGAAACTAGTAAGATTTACAGATTCTAATGAAAATACTCAAAAATAGACAAAGGCAGCCCGGTGTATGTTCACGTAGGGTTTGGAAAAGGGTCGCATCCCAAGGGGTGTAACATAGGCAGCCTACACGGATGCAAGTATCAGTGGCTTGATTTCACGGCTCAGACCCGTGACCTATAGGTCACACGGAAATAACTTAACCGTTGCTCCAAGACTCCCCTTATACACCAATATAGAGAAACTTTGAATACTTTCAAGATTTCAGCCATACCTTGATCTGTAAGCTGCTGCTAACTTGAAAATTTGGAGAGTAGTTTGGGAGCTATGGTGAGTAAAAGGCACAAACTTTTGTCTTCCCTCTGTGGTGCCAGAACTAAATGCAACAAAATAAGAAAACATTAGCAACAATAACTATACCTCAATTTTATACAAGTTAGGTCGAATGCATAAATTATCACTCACTATGTCGTTCCATTTAAGCTCATCTCAATCCAATAGTATTATATAGTAATTTGTCTCCCTTGTTTAAATCTACCATGAAATAAATATCTATAGCAAGTACTTTTGGTCAGCTTATTACACATACAACAGATTATATTTTCCATATAAACTATTTTATTGCCAAAAAGGTGCTTCTTAACTGCCACTTCAATAAGAAAGAAAGAGTAAAACAAATATTTAACTTCTATTCATTAAAAGAAAGCTTCAAGATTTAAACGTGACCTTAAAAATTCTTACTACTGAGCTCGCTGCACTTTCGAAATTATGAGTTAAAAACTTAACATTTGTAAAAATTTTGTATTTTTTCATGTGTAAATATATGCTCCGTGTCGAAGCATCAAATAAGTAACGGTACATCTGCCTCTGCATACACTGACAGTGCAAAAGAATCTCAGTGTCAAAATTAGAGAAAAATGTAGCTCAAGAATACAAAAACTTCACCTTAAGGACAGAGTTGTGATTGGTTCTTGAGTGATAAGAGGAGCTGTTTCACCATCAGCAATTCTCTGAATATAAGGCTCAAAATCTGCATGAGAAACAAGAGGGACCATAGTTGCAAAGAGTGATTCCAATGCATTTTCATTCATAATATCTTGAAGTCTAATATTTCCAAGCCATTTCTTGAGACATTCAACACCATGGTTGAGTTCAAGAATCCGGCGAAGCGTCTGCCGCTGAACAGCGGCGACGTTCTCGGTAGTTTCTTCGAACCAACTGATTATTTGGGTGTCACCATTGCCATTGTAAGTGGCCTCTGTTGGTTCCATTTGCTAAGGCTAAGAGTGTAGCCAGCAGCAAATATATAAAGGGTTGGATTAGTTGGTAAGGTGGCATTCATTTTGTTTTGTGAGGCTCAAGTTATTTAGGAGCCAACATAAGATTTAAATGATGAGTCTAGTAGGGTCCAATCAAATTGTTATAATATCAAGTTAAAGTCTTTATTTTATTCCATTTTATATTACACTTGTTCTTTTCTATGTACAACAATAACGACGATATATACCGTGTAATCCATAAGTAGGATCTGGCAAGAGTAATGCGTACGCAGAGTCGCAGACCTTACCATTACCTTATGAAAGTAGAGTGACTGTTTTCGATAGACTCTCGACACTTGTTCTTTGTTATGTATGTTTAGAGGGAGAAAAAAATGATACTTTGATATTTAGAATTTTTTTGTTAAAATCATTGATTTTATCTTAATGACATATTCTTATAGCCGTTGACAATGTCATGGCATATTTAATATTAAAAGTTTTAGGAATTTTAGATATATGTGTCAAATGTCTTTCTTTATTTTTTAAATATTTACTAGTAATTTTTACATACATATCCATATTTCGTGTCGAAATACAAAATTCAGTTGACCTATAAAGCTAATAATCTACATCTGCTACATCTACATTATAGGTTATGGATGCTCGAGCACCCATTACTTATGGAACCAAATACTATCATTATAAAAAATAGAAAATTTATGCAAATATATTAACCAATCTTAGTAGCAATTTTGAGATGAAAAATAGTTAAGCAACCATATTTAAAATATTTGGATCCGTCACTGTCCACTGCTGAACACGTTTTTATCATGGACGAGTTAGAAAGATAAAATATTTTTGGATTGAAGTTAACGTTAAAACTAAATTAGCCTATTTTTCTTTCTCCACCACTTAATTGAACGAGGAGAAATAGCCAGAAGCCCACTTGGATAATGAAATATCCATCTTTTTACAACTACAGAATTGTCATTTTATCACAATTCTGTTCAAGAAAGTGCTCTTTCACACGCTTAATATCACCCAAAGTTCAAAAAGAAATGTGTACAATGCTTTATACACCACACAATGTCTGTCATATATTAAGAGGAGAGACAGATAAGAAAAGAAAAAAATATCTTGTCTTGTTTTGGGAAATTGATGGAGATAAATAGGGTAGGGACCAAAAGCCATTACTTTGACAGGAACTATTCCTCTTTATTTCTATTTTCTAATGTAAATTTCCCGTTTGTGAATGAGTAAGAATGGTTAGAGGAAGTCATTATTCATGAAATATATTTTTGAAAAATATTTTAAGTGTTTGATTGGTGAATGAAACTTTTTCGAAAAATATCTATATATATATATATTTGAGATTAAAAACACAAGCAAATCGGAGATTCAGGGACGTGTTTTGACGAAATTTTTTAATACAAAAGACTAGTAATAATGTTTATTTGACTAAAGTAATATGAAGTTTAAAGATTAGACAGTTGCAAGGAAAACGACTTTCGCCCGTAATAACTGAAGTTATTTCCCTCCATTTAATGTCCGTCAATCAAACACCAAAAAAATGACTTTCTGCTGAAAAATATTTATATTTTTGAACACCACAGCCGATTCATTTGATGAATCGTCCATCATTATCCATAAATAAAACTTGAAACATTGCAGAATAAAAGTCATATTTATTTTTATCTATGTAAAATTCAACTACCATCCTGAGTTGAATTCATAATCTAGTGAGTGGATTGTACTTGCAGCTGATGAATCATATTGGACTTAAAACTGTTATGTTGTTCTAAATAATCAATTAACAATATCCTCTACATGTCTCTCCAACATAGGTTAGTGAGTGGAGAAGGAGCAACAACTGAATTCGATCGAACCCGTATTTGCAATTTTAGCTCCACTCATATTAGCGAGGGGAGATTATTCCTCATTTGTCGGCAAGCGGAGAATATTTACATCTAACTATAATAACTTATTATGATTATCTGATATATGAGAATGTCTTTTATTTAAGCATGTTTAACTGATAAAACTTAATATACAAATTTCATGTCATGTATTTATTAGAGTGCAAGCACCTATATGTGGGATAGCAACAAGACAGTATTCACATTAGGGACCATGCAATTACTCTTTGCTAAAGCACTGGTTTTAGGACCGCTCAACTGTAGCATTTACTAGCATACTCTATCACGCCCATGCCCCACTCCCCTCTGTTATAGGGCAGCCCGGGTGTGCACTCCCGCATTTACGCAGGTTCCAGGGAAGGGCCGCACCCCGAGGGATGTGATGTTGACAGCCTATCCTAAGGCAAGCATTAGTGGCTGCTTCCACGGCTCGAACCCGTGACCTATAGGTGGGTCGCATAAAACAATTCATGTCATTTTCCAGTAAATTCTCAAATATGCGACCCACCACATTTTTGTCACACACCCCGTCACCCTGTGCCAGTAGGAGCAAAGAGGGAGAAGAAGAAACAACTCCATAAAGATCTTCAAGTAGCTAATAAATTGTTCCAGAAAGTTTTGCAAGTGGCCTATAAATCAATTTCAGGAGGTCCAAAATCCAGAACAAATGCACATTTTAAGGCAGAGTAATCAACCAAACACTGTCCCATATCACAAAGAACCAAAGAGATAAGATAAGAGATACCAAAAAGTATACTAAAGGAAGGAATCTCCCCATATATTACAACAACAATAACTTACCCAGTGTGTTCCCACAAGTGAGGTTTGGAGAGGGTAGTATGTACGCAAACCTTACCCCCTACCTTGTGAAGGTAGAGAGGTTGTTTTCGGAAGACCCTCGGCTCAATAAAGCAAAATCACAACAGTTATGACAAAAAACTATGGAAAGCGAGATAGTAGCAACAACCGAAGGAAGCAAAGAAAACATCAGGTAATAATATCGATCTAAAAAGGGAAAAAATCTCCCCATATATTGTACATTATATTTGGAGGTAAGACTTCTAAATTATCGTGCAGCAAGATTTCAATGCCCCAGCAGAATCTAAAAAAGATATATGCCCTTTCAAGACATATGGTTTGGCTTCCTCCACTTTCGAAAATTCAGATACCATATCTTTCATTCTGTGATCCTAATACAAAGTTAAATTCACAAAGCCAATAAAAGATAGCATCTTCCTTGACAAAGATATGTATCTGCATAACAAATAAATACAGACCACGATCAGTGGCTACTCCATATTCCGATATAACACAAACTTTTACAGACACTTGACATGAACAGATTTTTCTTGACAACAAGGACTTTTAAGGCCATTAAACATATGAAATTTCTAAAGTTACGTAAAGATAGATAGCAGACCAGAACTCTTACGATTAGTACCTTCAAGATTGTCTTTGGGATCAAGGGATCAATCAATCAACTATCTCGCAAATTACCAAATAGTCTTTGACACATGCGTCAAAAAAGAAATTCCGCATGTTTTGGCTAGATGAATATGAATGGATAAGCAATACAGGCATGTGCCAACAAACATCACAGATAGTAGAACATGCAAATTGATCACATTATAGAGAATGCAGTTACTCACGTGTTTAATTGAAAAGCAGCTCCTAAGAGTGAGTAGCTCCAAGTGCGAATTTCTCTTTGATACTCATCTCATGTACTCAAACTTAACATACAGCAATTGGACAAGGACAGCATGGACACGTTCTTCTTTTCACTCCCACTGTCCTGCTGCTATGAATCACACAAGGAAATTTCAACCAAATACTAGCTATGCGATTCCTTTTCCCTAGTTTAGCTGCTTTTCCTTCTGCTTGCTGCTCAGCCTCAACTAACTGTCGTGGTTCGGCAGGAGCTGCAAAACCCACAGCCATAAGAATAGATCTTTCTCAAACTCCCTGTTGTTTATAATCTTCTTGTCTCACTTCACCAACAGCAGCAGCAGCAGAATTGCCTTCTGAAATAATCTCTTGTATACTACCAAGTGAAAATGAACATAATTGAAGTTGGGATATAACTATTGTCAAGCAAAACTTGATAGCTTCTTTCTCTTAGGATTTGGAAGGAGTTGCGATCCATCAGATGAGATCTTAAAAACAAAGAAAATATATACATAAATACAACTGTTACAAACACACATTTGTCAAAAACACCCTGTAATCACATTGCAAGAAATAACTACCTGGTCTAAGTGTTGTGATGCAGATGGCGTTTGCATACTAATGGATCCGCTTGCATTCCCCTCAGATATCACTACATCTTCATGCAAAAAAAAAAAAGAAAAAACAAATTAAATAATACTTACTAAATTTTGAAAATACTACAAAGCAACTTCACACTTGTCTGCGAGCCAACAGGTATAAAAAGATGTATTTCTGAGCTTGCCAATTTCTTTTTCAGCTGCCTGAAATCTTTCTGAATAATAATTAATTATGAAAAAAATGCAAAAAAGAAAATAAATTTCAAACTAAAAATAAAAACTTGGATCAAATGTAATAAGTTCGTGATGTGTAGGACACCTCGACGTTTGCTTTCCTCTGTGCTAGCCGGACTGCATACCTTTCTCTATCTCAGCAACTTCATTCAATGGTGCAGCATAGCCGGGGAGCTTTGGAGTATTTTGCAGAAGGATTTTTCAAGTCGAGCTTCATGCAACATCGTTGGGGTGTTTTTGACTCTTATCAATTGAAGCGCCATTGTTTTTTACTTCCACTGCATATTGATAGAGAAAAGAAATCAACGACTCAAAACTTACCGGTAATCAAATATAATAAGATAGAACACATTTATACCTGTAGTGACAACTTCTTGTGTGTTTCTACCTAAAATTCCTTGATAAACAGTTAATGCTTCCAAAAACAAATTGCAATACGAGTATAGACATCTGCATTCAGTGCATGTTTTTTAGTAACAACAGCTTCATTATCTGCATCTTTCTCAATTCCAACATTCTCGGTTAATAACTTTTCATCACATCCAACATTTTTGCTCAATCTATCAACACTAGAACCTTCCACTTGAACTTGCACTTTGCTTTTTAACCTCCCTCATTACCCTCTAGTATAAAAATAGAAACAATACAATAATTTCCGACTAAATAGGCATGTAGTTAAGTAAAGGCCAATGGCCTCGTGACCACTTAAACTTGTATCCGTTTGTAAAACCGATACATGAACTTACACATTTCCCATTTGAACACTCCAACTTGAAAAAATGGGTACTAATAAACACATCCAGCAGAGCGTGTATATCAATTGCGCTGACATGTACAACACGTCATATGCTAAATTATTTATTACTTGACATGTGTTATTTGTGGGTCCCATTTTTAAATACAAAATCAGCAAAAAAAAGTTACAAATACAAAAAAGAAAAAAAGGAAAAACACCTAAAACTTACTACACCAGTTTTAATCTGTACACAACCATCCCCCTTCTTCTTCGTCACCTCCTCCCTTCCTCTTCTTCTTTCTTCTCCTTTCTTTTTTCTTCATTATTCTTTCCTCTCTTATTTCTAAATCAAATTCACAACATCACTATGGCCATGATTAGACCATAACAAAAAAACTTAAATTTGGAATTTTAGAAAAAAAAAAACAGAAATCCATGATTTTGAAAGTGGAGGTCGCCCAATACTATTACAAATCTGCCTTTTTTGCTACTACTTTGGTAAAGATGAATTCGATGATAGAACAACGACAAAGTTCAAGCTTTCTTCCGTCTACCGGTGGTTGAGGGAGGTTGGGACGAAAATGGTGGGTGGAGACTAGCAAATGAAAGAAAAGATGGAAGATGAAGGAAAAAGGAAATAGAGAAAGGGGAGGGGGAGAGAAATTAAGATAGAAAATGAAAAATATTACAGAATGGGGGTGGGAGATTTGCTGGGAAGACGAGAGAGTTGGGAGTAGAGGTGGGCATAAAACCCGAAAAAACGAATTCCGAACCGGACATTAGTTCGGTATTTCGGTATCAATTTTTTGGTTATTCAGTGTTTCGGTACGGTCCTCGGTATTGAAGTTTCGATATTTCGGTATATCGAAATGCCGAATTATTTGGCAGATGTTTGGTGGAGTCGTTGGACTCCTGACTGTTGTAGTTTACTAGTTTACTAGTTTAGCTGTGTCGTTGGCAGATGTAGTTTATTGGGAAGCATTCTTAGTTGCAGGGACTCAAATATTGTTGATTGAAGAGTAATTAAGTAAAAATCTTCTTAGTCGAAGGGAAGCATCTTCTAAGTTTTGTTTGGCAGATATTGTTGATTGAAGTGTTGAAGCTTTCTTAGTTAGACGTGCAAACTTTTGTATCTTTAACTTTTATTGAAGCCTTCTTACAGGCACATGTTAGTAAGTAAGGGCAGTAACATATGAAGTTATCCAGTGAAGTGTTGGTGTTGAGTCTGTTGACTGTTGAAAACGTTTTTAACAATTTAGTTTATTAATGCTTTATACTAATGCAAAATTAGTCTAGTTTGGTTGGCTACCGAAACCGTACCGAACCAAACAAGAAATATCGAATCGTACCGAATTACTTTGGTACGGTATTTGGTATGCATAATTGATTTACCGAACCATAGTTCTTAATAGCGTACCGAAGTACCGAACGCCCACCCCTAGGTGGAAGGGGAGGGGAAAGAGAAGGGGAAGGGAAAGGTCTTTTTTTCTTTCTTATTTATATTTTATTCTAAACTCTAATATTTTTTTAATAAAAACAATACTATCCATGCGCCTTGGCAGCGTGATTTGCACACAATTTAGCCATGTCAGCTGCATTGCTTCCACATAGGCATAGTCAATGGTCAAAGGTGGTTATTAGTACCCATTTTTTCAAGCTGGAGTGTTCAAATGGAAAAGGTGTAAGTTTATGTATCGGGTCTGCAAAGTGATACAAGTTTAAGTGATCACGAGGCCATTTGGCCTTAAGTAAATAAAGTACAAAACATGTTGTAGTTAAGCAAAACAACATGAAAAAATTCAGATTAAACAGGCATGTTAGCAAACACAATACATAACTTCAGCTCTAACAATACTGAAGTTCAGCAAATACAGAACAAAAACTTCAGGTTATGAAAGTTAAAGAAGCATGTAATTCAAACAATGTTGAACAAAAAACTTCACACTAAAAACAAAAATAAAAAACTTACATCACATATTGTGTTAACTAATTTATCATCAAACCCCATTGAAGAACGTTTCAAACGACTGTGGGTATGAGGTGATTCTCCAATTAAAGGAGTTGAGTTCATTTCTTTTGACCGACTTTGACTGCATGGTGATTCTCCAATTAAAGGTACTGGATTCATTCCCTTTGAACGACTGTATGGTAATTGTCCAATTAAAGGCATTGAATTCATTTCCTCTGTAGAATTTTGGAGGTATATGGGTAGAGCAGGCTTGGAGTAGCTGACTAGCTATTTAATATTATTTTCAGGACGAAGAGGATGCCAGATGAGTGGAGGTGAAGTACGATGATTCCGTTGTACAAGAACAAAGGTGATATCCAGAATTGTAACAACTATAAGGGTATCAAGTTACTGAGTCGTACCATGAAAGTTTGGGAGAGGGTGGTGGAAGGGAGGGTAAAGATCAGAGAATCAGTTTGGGTTCATGCCGGGTCGTTCTACTACGGAAGCTATCCACCTAATTAGGAGGTTGGTGGAACAGTACAAAGATAGGAAGAGGAACTTGCACATAGTGTTTATTGACCTAGAGAAGGCGTATGACAAGGTCCCTAGGGACGCTCTTTGGAGATGCCTGGAGGTGAAAGGTGTACCGGTAGTTTATATTAGGGCGATTAAAGATATGTATGGTGGAGCTAAGACTCGGGTTAGGACTGTGGGAGGTGACTCAGAGCCTTTTCCGTTGGTTATGGGGTTATACCAAGGATCTGCGTTCAGCCCGTACTTATTTGTCCTGGCGATAGACGCACTGACACACCATATTCAAGGGGAGGTGCCTTGGCGTATGCTGTTCGCGGATGATATAGTTTTGATTGATGAGACGCGATGTGGCGTTAACGAGAGACTGAAGGTATGGAGACAGGCCCTGGAGTCTAAAGGTTTCAAGTTGAGTAGGACCAAGACGGAATATTTGGAGTGTAAGTTCAGCGACGTGTCAGGGCGGATGTGGAAGTGAGGCTTGACTCACAAGTCATCCCTAAGAGAGAGAGTTTCAAGTACCTAGGGTCTATTATCCAGGGAGATGGGGAGATCGACGGGATGTCACGCACCGTATCGGGGTGGGTAAATGAAATGGAGGTTAGCGTCTGGAGTCCTGTGTGACAAGAATGTGCCACCTAAACTTAAAGGCAAGTTCTAGAGAGCGGTGGTTAGACCGGCCATGTTATATGGGGTCGAGTGTTGGCTAGTCAAGATTTCACATACCCAGGAAATGAAAGTAGCAGAAATGAGTATGTTGAGATGGATGTGCGGGCACACTAGGATGGATAAGATTAGGAATGAGGATATTCGGGAGAAAGTGGTCATGGCTCCCGTGGATGACAAGATGCGGGAAGCGAGGCTTAGATGGTTAGAGCCTAGATGCTTCGGTTAGGAGGTGTGAGCGGTTGGCTCTGGCAGGTACGAGAAGAGGTAAAGGACGGCCTAAGAAGTATTGGGGCGAGGTGATCAGGCAGGACATGGCGCGACTTCAAATTTCTGAGGACATGGCCCTTGATAGGAAGGTGTGGAGGTCGAGCATTAGGGTTGTAGGTTAGGAAGTAATCGAGCGTTTCTCCTCGCTGCGCCGGCTAGTGTTTTGTCTAGGACTGCTAGCGGTTTTTATTGTGTTTCACATTTTTTTCTGTCTTTCACATTTTGGCCTTTCTATTTATTTGCTGTATTTTCGATACTATTTTTCTGGTTTCTATTGTTGTTATGGATCTATTGTCTCTGAGCCGAGGGTCTCCCGGAAACAGCCTCTCTATCCCTTCGGGATAGGGGTAAGATCTGTGTACACTCTACCCTCCCAGACCCTACTAGTAGGATTCTACTGGGTTGTTTTTGAATTCATTTCCTCTTTGGTAGGGATTATCTCCAATACCCTAAATGTCAGATATTTATGTTTAATAGATGAAAAGTATATTAGCAAAAATAAAACTGATACCTCAACAAAACTACAGAGAAAAAAGAATATTAACTTACAGCACGATTACTGTTGCAAAACTCATAAAGTTCCTTATATTTAGGCTCTCCAAGATTGGATAACCTAACATTATGTGGATCTGAGGGACATGACTGTATTGGTCCTTTTTTAAATATCTGTCCCGAATATCAAGGAAGCGCTCATAGAACCAAACACACGGTGAATTTGGGAAATCCCCCTACATTGTACTCAGATGTATTACTTTTGTTGTCCAAAACATGTTTCATTGAAGTTATCAGTTTCTCATAAGACGCATTGCCCCAAGGATAATTAGCACAAGCATGTTCGTCTTTAACAATAGCTGCATACTCCTCAGACACAGTTGCTTCATGTTTTCTTCCAAACACAATAGACTCAACAATTAGATTTTCCATAAGCCTCACTGCATCTTTATCACTCTCACATACATGTTTGAAATTTACATAATCCTCATTCTTTAACAAGTAATCTCAAATATCCTTCAGTGTTGCACCCTTAAACTTTCCAAGATAGTGCTTCAAAATGAAATTCTTGTTTAATTGGTTTTTCAACAAGAGTTGTGATCCTCAAATCACTTATAATGTGAAAGTCTTCAAGGCTGAACGACACTTCACGACCAAAAATCTTGAAACTAATTGAATCTCGGTCATTGGTGTATACGCGAGAAAGGATCAAATAATGAACCAACTTTATATTAAATTTGTAATTCTCCATAGGTATGATATACCTAAATGTACCGTTACTCAGCTTCTCCCCTTGTGCAGGAGACAAGAAAGTTGTAATTAAACCTTTCAAATTATGGTTCCCCTTCTCGTAAGCAGGGGCATTAAACCAATCTCCAACCTCATAACACATCTCCCCTGGTTTTGTAGGTACTGCAACGGGGGCGATGAAGGAGCTTTACGTACTCTAGGAGCTTTAGGTACATTAGGTACTCTAGGAGTTGGGTACATTAGGTACTAAAGCTCCTAGAGTACGTAAAGCTCCTTCAACGCCCGTTGTAGTACCTACAAAACCAGGGGAGAGATATTGTGAGTTTGGATATTGGTTTAATGCCCCTGCTTACCGGAAAGGGAACCATGATTTAAAGGGTTTAATTACAACTTTCTCTACTCCTGCACAAAGGAGAAGCTAAGTAACAGTACATTTCGGTATATCATGGCTATGGAGAATTACAATTATAATATGAAGTTGGTTCACTATTTGATCATTTCTCGCGTATACACCAATTACCGAGATTCAATTAGTTTCAAGATTTTTGGTTGTGAAGTGCCTTGAAGACTTTCACATTATGAGTGGTTTGAGGATCACATCACATAATGTTGAAAAACCAATTATACAAGATTGTACAATTCTGAAGCGCTATCTTGGGAAGTCTAAGGGTCGTTAAAGGACATTTGAGATTACATGTTAAAGAATGAATATAAAGAGGATGATATGAATTTCAAACATGTATGTGAGAGTGATGAAGTTGCAGTGAGGCTTATGGAAATTCTAAATATTGAGTCCATTTTATTTTGAAGAAAACATGAAGCAACTGTGTCTGAGGAGTATGCAGCTATGTAGAAGACGGACATGCTTGTGCTAATTATCCTTGGGCAATGCATCTTATGAGAAGATGATAACTTCAATAAAACATGTTTTGGACAACAAGAACAAAAGTAATACATCTGAGTATAGTGTAAAGGTGTTTCCATATCCACTGTGTGATTGGTTCTATGAGCGCTTCCCAGATATTCAGGATAGATATTTAAAAGAGGACCAATACAGTCATGTCCCTCAGATCCCCAAGATGTTAGGTTATCCAATCTTGGGGGAGCCTAAATATAGGGAAAGTTTTACTTCAGTAATCATGCAGTAAGTTAATATTCCTTTTTTTCTTTTTTCTTTGTAGTTTTGTTAATATGTTGATGTACCAGTTTTATTTTTGCTAATATACTTTTCATCTATTAAACATAAATATCGGACATTTAGGGTATTGGAGAAAATCACTACCGAAGAGGAAATGAATTCAATGTCTTTAATTGAACAATTACCAAGCAGCCGCAGTCGTTAAGAGGGAATGAATACAGTGCCTTTAATTGGAGAATCACCACATAATTGGAGTCGGTCAAAGGAAATGGATTCAACTCCTTTCATTGGAGATTCACCTCATACCCACACTCGTTCGGAACGTTCTTCAACGGGGTTTGATGATGAATAAGTTCACACAATATGTGATGTAAGTTTTTTATTTTTATTTTTAGTCTGAAGTTCTTTGTTCAGCATTGTTTGAACTACATGTTAATTTTTATAACCTAAAGTTTTTGTTCTGTATTTGCTAAACTTCAATATTGTTATAGTTGAAGTTATGTACTGTGTTTGCTAAACTACAAGCATGTTTAGTGTGAAGTTTTTCATATTGTTTTGCTTAACTACAACATGTTTAGTTTGAAGTTTTGTATTGTATTTACTTAGCTACAGGCCTATTTAGTCTAAAATTGTTATATTGTTTCTATTTTATACTAGAGGGTAATGAGGGAGGTTAAAAAGCATGCACACGAAGAAAGGCGCTTGATCGCGAGAGATGTTGTTCAAGAGTTTGGAGAGAAAGAATGATATGTCGTTGTGGAAGATGTTGTAAGAAAAACCAAGGTAGGCTTATTTATAGAGAAGTATTTGTTGCTTAGGTAATGATATTGTTAGTATTCTTGTATAGGAATATTTGGATTCAAAGCTGGAAAAGTTATTTGAGATTGTTGACAAGTCGAAAAGGAAATATGTCGCTGAAGAAGATTCTGAATTTATGAACTATCGAGAATATGATAGAATGAATGAGGTCTTCAAGCCTCAGTCTGATGTAAATGCTGCTGATGATAGACTGCATAAAGCCCCAGATAAAAATGCTGGAAGTGAGCAAGTTAAGTGGAAGGTTCTAGTGTTGATAGATTGAGCAAAGATGTTGGATGTGATGAAAAGTTATTAACTGTTATTAACTGAGAATGTTAGAATTGAGAAAGATGCAGATGATGAAGCTGTTGGTACTAAAGAACATGTACTGAATGCAGATGTATGTACTCGTATTGCAACAGGCAATTTATTTGTGGGAGCGTTTGTTGTTTGTCAAGAAATTTTAGGTGGAGACACATAGGAAGTTGTCACTACAAGTATAGCTGTGTTATATCTTATTATATATGATTACCTGTAAGTTTTGAGTCATTGATTTCTTTTCTCAATCAATATGCAGTAGAAGTCGAAAACAGTGGCGCTTCAATTGATAAGAGTCAAAAATTGATGTTGCACTGCATGAAGCTAGAGTCGAAAAAATCCTTCTGCAAAATACTCCAAAGCTCCCGAGCGATGCTGCACCATTGAATGAAGCTGAAGCTGCTGAGATAGAGAAAGGTATGCAGTCCAATGATAGCACAGAGGAAGGCAAACATCAAGGTATTCTACACATCACGAACGTATTACATTTGATCCAAGTTGTTATTTTCAGTTTGAAATTTTACATACTTCTTTTCTTTTTTGCCTTTTTTCATGATTATTCAGAAAGACTTTAGGCAGCCGAAAAATAAATTCGTGAGCTCATTCGGCTATATATGAAAAAGATTAAATGCATATTTTTACACTTGTTGGCTCATAGAAATGTGTGAAGTTGCTTTGTAGTATTTTCAAAATTTAGTCACTATTATTTAATACTTTTTTCCTTTTTTTTTTTGCAAGAAGATGTAGTGATATATGAGGGTAATGCAAGCGGATCTACTGGCTTATGCAGGTTTTATACCGTTGGTCAGTGATATTATTGTCATAATATTACTTATTTTTTACTAATTGGCTACCAGTTCATTAATTTGTAAAAATAGGGTACATGTTAAAAGGTGGTACAAATATAGAGTATGGCTGCAAATTCCCCAATATTACCTCTTTTTATGATAATACAAGATAAGTTGCCTGAGGGTGCCATATTTTAGTTGATGGCAAGAACTGCTGAATCAACAATCGAAAGCATAAGTGTAAGCACAAAGCATATGAGAAGAATCAATGACGGATAGTAACTAATATGAGTGATAATCCCATCCAACAATTTTAGGTGTCTCGGAGTTATCTTAAAAATAAGTTGACACTTCCAAATAATCTTCCACGATAAAGTTTTTTAAAGCAACAGAAGGGGTCAGCATCTTTAAGTATATCTCAGGCTTAATCAGAATGGGGGAAAAGGTCAGACTTCAGAGTTTGTGACTTGAGTGTCACTATCACACCACCCTATATCGTACTTCCAGTTTCAACAAAAAGAAGATAGAGCTAACGCAAGCAAGATGATTTGTCAGATTCTCTTATTAAACAAAAAAATCAATTAACTTTACCTCTTTATTTGCTTGTTAGAACTCCATAAAGTGGCAGATATGCATAGCTTAGCCAAATGGCATGTTCATTGCTTATTTGATCACATCATTGATTTTGTTTTACATTAACCAAACAGGAACGTAATAACCATCATTGCATCACCAACACGCTCCCTGCATGTGTCAAAACTAGTTAAGAGAACCTTAGAAAACAAACTTTGTTTTAATATTGGAGCTAAGTTCTATTTTGAGATTACTCATCTAAAAGAAAATTTTATTGTAAGACTATTAATTGGTTTAAATATTGTGCTAGTGTTATAAGGAATCTCAAAAAAGCAAAATGCATCTAAAGGATCCAAGAAGGAAAACGCACTAGATCAGTATGGAAAACACAGAGTAGATACAAGCACTCCTTTTCCACTTTGTTTGTCACATTTCGATTGGGTAAAAAAGAGTAGAGTATATAATTGACTTGAAGTACTTCATAAACAGGCGGGGTAAAAACTCTTCTTCCAAAAAAGAGACAGAACAAAGATGACAGAGGAAGGTATTCGGTTTTATTTTATATTTTGATAGTTGGGCAGAGTATATACTTTTTTTGGCAAAAGAGTAATTAAAAAAAACATAATTTTAAAGAGTATAACTCATAGCTTTAAGGATTATAAAACTGCAGCTCTTTTAATTAGTTAAGACATAATCTGAGAAAAGCACCAAATCAGCCCAAACTGTACACTGTTAGGCACACACAAAACCCCAGAATAAGCAAAATAACAAGACTCGGATCACCACCAATCTCCATCCAATCAAGTACAGAAGTGTACCTAGGATTACTTTCCTACAAATTTGAAGCTTTATAAAAATAGTTGTGGATCCCAAATAGATTTTAAGTCTATTTCAGCTAAAGGTAATGAGTAGTAAGAGAGTTATTTGCCACGTAGGAATCACTATCAGATAGGCATGTTTGAAGAACTTCAAATAATTAAGAAAATGTCAGAGGGACTAACTAAGTGTAAATTTCACGACTAACACAAAAGGCCGACGAAAAAAAATGAAAGGTTGAAGGAAAAGTAGCAATGCATGTATATTAACTTTCTATATAAATTCTGCAAACTCACTTTCTAATTTTGTAACCAACCATGATAGTAGCACAATAACATTCTTGAATGTCCCAATAGTAACCCCGCTATCCAGCTTTAGCCTCAGCTTTCCACCAGTACTCGGAACTTTACTCTCCTTTTGATACTACCCTGCCTGTCGTATCCAATGCCAATCTTACTATGCATCAGCTTCAGTGCCATATCAGCATTCCCTGTCTTTCTCAAGGCATTAATCAAGACAGTGCGAACTTTTCCAGGAATTTCTCGACCTCTATCCACAATCCCATCAGCTAATTTGCAAGCCTGTTTTATACGACCTACCTTGCACAGAACATTAATCATATCTTCAAAAGCTGTCTCAAGGATAACACCCATTGGTGCCAGCTCATCCAATATCTTACACGCTCTTGCCACCTTTCCAGAAAGACAAAGCCCAGTTGAAAGGGCTCGAAAAGAAGCGGCATTTGGAGTTATACCCTTATCAATCATCATATGCCACAATTTCAATGCCTCTTCATTTTGATGCTCTTTAAACAAGCCACTGATCAATATGGTATATGTATAAACTGTTTGATCACAACCTTCATCTTCCATTCTCTTAAAAAGAACCAAAGCTTCATCAATTTTCCCAGTTTTGGCCAAGGCATCGATAAGTGCATTATAACAATAAGAGTCACGCGTACATCCCTTCTCGGCCATCTCCTCAAAGAGTTCTCTGGCCTCGTCAACTCTCCCTGCCTTTCCTAGACCATCAATAAGACTTGAATAAAACATGGCGTTGATAGCTACATTGTTATTTTGACAGTACTCGAGCCACTGCATTGCCTCGTCCAACCTCCCACTCTTGCATAAACCATTTACAATAACCCCAAATGTTACCTCATCTGGTTCAAATCCTTCATTCTTCATTCTGTCGAAAAGCCTCATCGCCTCATCCAAGTTTCCAAGTTTCATGTATGAATCAATCAAAGAAGTATAAATCGACAGATTAGGTTTAAAACCCTTCTTGATCATATTCTCGAAAACAGTAAACCCTTCCAAAACCTTCCCAGTTTTACAAAACCCTCCAATCACTAATGTATAAGCGTGTGGTGGAATATCCAAGTCCTTTTCCTCCATTTCGTGATAAAGTCCCAAACAAGAATCAAAATCTTCCTCTGAGTAACACGCTTGCATCAGAGTCATGTACGTAATCTTGTCAGCTTCCACTTTTCTAACCTCCATATCTCTAAATTTCTCCATTGCCTTTTGAAGCTTCCCTGATCTACAATACCCTTTAATCATAGTATTATACGTAACAATATCCGGATTAACTTTCCCGCCTTCCATAACCTCAAAAACGGGTTCAGCCGATTCAATAAACATGGAATTAACCAATCCATTCATCAAAAAGTTATAGGTATACAAACTAGGCTCAATACCACTTTCTTTCATTTGACGCCACACAAATAACAATTCTTCAACCATCCCAAGTTCTCCGAAACTCCTAATCAACAAATTAACTGACCCCACATTCATCAACAAACCACTACCTTTATGCTTAAATTCACTAAACACGTGCTTAATTCTATCCAATTCGCGCGAAGCAGATAAAATCTGAATTAAAAACGCATAGCATTCAACATTATGAGCATACCCTTTTTGCTTACCAGCCCAATAAAAGAAACGAAACACGATATCAGGCTTACCAGCAAGGTCACCTGACTTCAACACATATGCAACAAAACTAGGAGATAATTTGATCAAAAATTTACAACAATAAGCATCTAAATTCTGCTCCATTGAGTATGAATTGTCCAAAAGATTCAAAATTTGTGGGACCCATGGTGATATTTTGAGATCTTTAGGGTCTGTAACTAAATCAGAAACGTCAATGAATGGATTTACCCATTCTGGAGGTGGGATGTTAAAAGTAGAAAATAACCTTTTGGGTTTTGAAGTGAAATTTGAGTAAAGATTTGATTTTTTTGATTTGGGTACCTGGGAAAGTGGAAAATTTGAATAAAATGGGTCTGAATGACATCGACTTGTTTGGAACTGGGACGTATTTGATTGAGGGATTGGTAGTTTGAAGAAGAAAAATTGGTTTGTGCCATTGGTGAGGGTACTGTTGTTGGATTTGGAAGTTGCAGAAATGGAACAAAGGGGTTTTTTCAGGGTTTTTCTCATCTGGGGTTTTTAGTTCACTGGGTTGAAGTTGAAGATGCAGCAGCTTTTAACAATTTTCGAGGTGGTTCAGTTCAAATGTGTCTTCAGGCTTTTGGCACTTTTGGCTCTTGTAATGATGCAAAACTTCTGTTTAACCAGTGTTTAAGTTTGCCACTCATATGTTATAAATAGAAATCTTGCAAAATGATAGCAAAACGGTTCTATGGTCTAGCGGTTAGGACATTGGACTCTGAATCCAGTAACCCGAGTTCAATTCTCGGTAGAACCTCTTTGCCTTTTTGTTTTTTTCAGAAAATTCTATTGCACTATGGAAATAAATGTATATAAATATTCGAAGAGTTAATGAGTTTTTTTAGTGTGATATTTTTATATGTTTTGAATATATTGAATTGTTAATCTTTGCCTTTTTGTTTTTTTCAGAAAATTCTATTGCACTATGGAAATAAATGTACATAAATATTCGAAGAGTTAATGAGTTTTTTTAGTGTGATATTTTTATATGTTTTTTAATATATTGAATTGTTAATTGTTATGACTTATAATACTTTTATATAGATTTTAAATTGTAAATTTTGTTTTTTTAAAATTGAAAATTATATGTCTTTGCAATAAATTTTCAAGATATGAAAAATAAACTGCAATCACAAAATAAGAGATTTTTACTAATCAATTGTGGGTACAATTCGACAAGAGGGGTGGGGAAGGGTTGCTGTGATGGTAAGCAACCTCCACTTCCAACCAAGAGGTTATGAGTTCGAGTCACCCCAAGAGCAAGGTGGGGAGTTCTTGGAGGGAAGGATGCCGAGGGTCTATTGGAAACAGCCTCTCTACCTCATGGTAGGGGTAAGGTCTGCGTACACACTACCCTCCCCAGACCCCACTAGTGGGATTATACTGGGTTGTTGTTGTTGTTGTAATTGTGGGTACAATTCTATTTCTTCCTTGATTCTTCTCTCCTAACTATCTCCATGATTCGAGGGTTGAAGCAACTATTTCTCGAATATATGATGATGCAAATCTCCTAGGGATGTATTTGATCTCCAACTTCTTGAACTATTTGATTGTCAAGAAGTATCCGGCCACAAGGGTATACTAACCTCCAAGCAACTCTAATAGACTCCTATGAATTCAAGAGTCTTGTAGTATCTTGAATTTAGGATTTTGCTTGATCCGTAAAAATTTCGGTGTCTACAAATGCCCCTTACTTCAAGGTTTGTCAGGGTGTAGGCTTGCCGAAACTTGAAGACGAGACTTGAAGTACTCGACCATCACAACAAATGATTTTGAAACTTGGAGTTTTCGATTTACATGTGGAAGAAATGAAGGGCAAAATTGGTCCCACTGGGCGTGCCAAAATTTTAAACAATAAATTTGCGTCAAGAAAATATAATCGAGACCGAAAAGTATTGCAACAATCGTAATATTTTATTTCAAATAGTTTGAGTGTTACAATCTCTATGAATCCTCTGATTCTTCTTTCTAGTAGTAAATAAATTCAAGGGCCTTTGAGCTTGATCTTGAATCAGCATTTGTTGCCACGAACGATGGTCTTGAATTCAATTAGCACGAACTTTGATTTGAACTTGTACCCCTTGAATCTTGATTTGTTCTTCGTTCTTGAGCTTGAACTTGATTTCTTGAACTTGAACTTGATTGCTTGAAGCTTGTAAAGAAATTTGCAGTGTTTGATCCACGAGTTCTCTCTTGCTTCTTGTTATAATCTCTGATCCCTTTTCTGAGTTATGAAGACTCATATTTATAGTTGTGGTAGGGAAGAGTTATGATAAGAATAAATTCTTTTCGACCAATCAGATTGAAGCGTGACAGAGCCGTATTTGATTGGCTGGAATATGTCACTTGCACATGTAGTGCGATTGCATTGGCTTTTTAATTTGACTTGGCATGCTTGTCATTTTGACATGTGGCATGATCATATTAGCTCTTCTGTTTGACTTGGTGTGCCATGTCATTTGAAGCGTGGCACTGGCCTCTAGGAAGATGACATCTTGGGCCTAATGAAGTGGGTTCATCACTTGTAGCCCAATTAAATGGGCTAACCCAGTGGATTTGGACTTATTTATTTAATCCATATATATTTGACTTATATAACTAATTCAATTATATTAGTCCAATAAATTTATTTGGACAAAAATATCTTGAATTTAAAATATAGCCCAAATTATTTTATCGATTGAGATTCGATAAAATTTAAATGCTTACATATTTGTAAACACCGAAATTTTAATAGATCAAGCTAAATCATAAATTCAATATACTACAAGACTCTTGAAATCCTATGAGTCTATTAGGGTTGCTTGGAGGTTAGTCTACCCTAAACCCTAACTCACACATCTATAAAGGGATACATATTCCCTTAAAGAGGCGTCTCAAAAATCTTATAAACTCTTGGGATATTCACAAAGAGATCAAAGTATGGTCGGATACGTCTTGACAATCAAATAGTTCAAGAAGCTGGAGATCAAATACATCCCAGGAGATCTACATCATCCTATATTCGAGAAATATGTTGCTTCAACCCTCGAATCACAGAGATAATTAGAAGAGAAGAATCAAGGAAGAAACATAATTGTACTCACAATTGATTAGTAAAAATCTCTTATTTTATGATTGTAGTTTACTTTTAATATCTTAAAAATTTATTGCAAACAAATTGGCACGCCAAGTGGGACAATCTCTACCTCTCATCTTAACTTTTCATTCACCAAAGTTCAAGAACATCGAAATGGCTTCAAAGAAAATCAACTCCAGATCAACTTCCACTAAAGCTCCTAATTCTATGTTGATATGGAAAATATCATAAATATTACCTTTGGAAGCGTTGGGCCAGTTACAAAGAGCAAAGTATGCTCTTTAGGATAACAAACACTTTAAGTGACGTCCGCATCAAATCCTATTTTCGGATCTTCATCCTCAAAAGAAACAAGATCCTCTACCAGCATGACCCAAAAAGGGAACAATGTCACTGAAAGGATCGACGAGGTACTTGCTCAACTTAGTTTATCTAAGTCTAAGACACCTTTCGTGCAAGCCGGTGATGATGAATTGAGCGTTGGATCTCCTCTGGTCTCCATTAATGCGACATCTAAGCTCTATTCCAACAATGATCCATATTATTATTCCTCCTCTATGGCGATCATGCAAGCAATGGTTATTGAAGCTTCTATTGTAGAAGAACAACTTGCAAATTTGACGAAAGCAGTTGGAAGCTTATCAAAGCACGTGCAAGATCAAGATGCTAAAATTTCAAAGTTAACAAATACATTGGATAGCATAGTAAAGGGAGAATCGACACAAACATCTTTAAATCTTCAAAGATCGCAAGAGAAAGAAGACACCTCTGAAAAGCAAAAAATGACAACTAAGGAGATTCAAGTCTCCGCTGAAGGTCTCATTCCCGTTGAGAAATTAAAAGACTTCATCATGGAGGCTATCAAAGTAAACCTGAGTCGTCCAAATTATCTCTCACATATGCAAAGCCGTATATGCAAAGAATTGATAACTTGAAGATGCATATTGGTTATCAACCTCCTAAGTTGCAACAATTCGACGGCAAGGGAAATCCGAGATAACATGTAGCACACTTTGTTGAAACTTGCAACAATGTTGGAATGTATGGCGATTATCTTGTCAAATAGTTTGTTCGGTCTCTCAAAGGTAATGCATTCGATTGGTACATAAATCTCGAATATGGTTCCATCAATAGCTGGGAGCAGTTGAAGAAAGAGTTTCTCAATCATTTCTATAGCACAAGACGCATCGTAAGCATGATCAAACGTACAAACTCTCATCAACGAAAGGATGAGCCAATTATTGACTTCATCAACCGCTGGAGGAGCTTAAGCCTCAACTACAAAGATCGCCTTAGTGAAACTTCTAGCATCGAAATGTGCATTCAAGGCATGTGTTGGGGGTCCACTCTATATACTACAAGGAATAAAGCCTAAAACATTTGAAGAACTAGCAACTCGTACTCATGATATGGAGCTAAGTATGGTTACAAGTGGAGACCAAAGGCTACATATCTTTGAGCCTTACGACGACGAAGAAGAAAAATAAGAAGACGAGGATGGGGACAAGTTTTCATCCAAAAATGAAAACGAAGAATCTATTCATGTTACAACGCTCCTTAACACACTAGCCTAAATTCCATGTTGCAATGCTCCTCAACGCACGAGCCTAAACTGCAAGTTATAATGCTCCTCAACGCACAGGCCTAAACTGCAAGTTATAATACTCATCAACGCACGAGCCTAAACTACAAGTTATAATACTCCTCAACGCACGAGCCTAAACTGCAAGTTATAATGATCCTTAATGCGCGAGCTTAAACTACAAGTTATAACGCTACTTTGCACATGAACCCATATTGTATGTCACGAATCTCCCCAAATTTGAACTAAATCTTCAAGACAAAGCTCTTCATATTCGAGCAAAGTCTTTAAATTGTAAAGCTCCTCAAATTCGAGCAAAGTGTTCAAGTCACAAGGCTCTTCAAATTCGAGCAAAGCATTCAAGTCACAAAGCTCTTCAAATTCGAGAAAAGACTCGAGTCCAAAGCTCTTCAAATTCGAGCAAAGCATTCAAGTCACAAAGCTCTTCAAATTCGAGAAAAGACTCGAGTCCAAAGCTCTTCAAATTCGAGCAAAGACTCAAGTCGCAAAGCTCTTCAAATTCGAGCTAAACTCCAAGTTGCAAAGCTCTTCAAATTCGAGCTAAACTCCAAGTTGCAAAGCTCTTCAAAATTGTGAAACTCATCAAGTTGCAAATCATTTCAAAACGTAAGCTAAATCTTCAAATTACTACGCTCCTATACACACGAGCCTAAACTGCATGTCATGAAGCTCTTCAAATTTGAGCAAAATCTTCAAGTTGCAAAGCTCCTCAAATATGAGTTTAAATTGCAAGTTGCTACGCTCCTTAACGTATGAGCATAAACTGCATGTTACTCTTTTCCTGCAAAAGTATAAACTGTGCACGGCCCAAAAAAAGAGGCCTGCTAAGTTAAAACCTCGAAAGAGGCAGCATAGGTAAAAGTTAAGACATTAAAAAAAAATCACACATTCTTAACTAAGGTATGACTTG